CTTTACAAGCAATTCTTACACGATCATAAGTACAAATTGATCATATTTTGCAGATTTTAGATAGAATTTATTCGTCAAAATTTTGAGATATCGGCATTAATTTTTTGGGGGAAGTAAGCTGATATATTTTGATTAACAAATTTACCATGCTTACAATACTTTTAACACGTCCGCAAGATTTCAAAGCACTCGGTTTTGCAGTTCCTGATTTAATCAATAAAATAAATTCACTCATTTTTTTTAGTCATACTGTATAAGCAAATAGAAATATAAAAATAGAAAACATGAATGGAATGATAAATCACAAGTACCTATAGATTCAACATATTTTACATATTGTAGTTAGGATTTATTCGGCAAAAATTTTGAGGCGACGTCATTCATATTTTTGGGGGATAAGCAAATATATTTTGATAAAAAATTTAGCGTGTTTATGATAGCTTTAAAGCATCTGCAAGAAATTCAAAGCATTTGGTTTTGCAGATTCAAATTGAAATTACACAACGTTGTATAATTTTGATTTTTTTGCAAAAATTTTGACGTTTCAGGTAAAAACTCAACACGGATTCATAAACTACATGTGTAGGACTATGTTTTTTATATAATTTTAAACCCATTTACAACGTACAATTTTGATTTGACGTCATCACATTATTGGCTGCGATGATTAGACAAAGTTTGTTTCACTTTTTACCAAATACGTGATATTCATAATACACATAAGTTGACAACAATCGGTCCAGTGGTTTCGGAGATCATTTGTCTAGCAAAAATTGTCACGAATGGTGGACAAACAGACACAGATAGACGGACAGACGAAAACGGAAGACCCATTTTTACTTCCCGATCGTAAGCAAAGGAAGTATTGTAATCGAGTCCATCGCACGAATAACCACTTTTTTTACAAATTCGTCACGTACTTTGTAAGATAAATTATAATTTTTTTTAGTAAAAATTTAATTTTATTAAATTAATATATTTTTTTTTAATGGAACACTCGACATATTTTTATTTTCCGAGCTAAGCTAAGGAGTACTGTAATCAAGTCCATCGCGACTCGCTACTTTTATGTTTTCTCGGCGTTCATGAGTTCATGACACTTAGAATATGGAAACATAAGTCTCTCTTCCGTCTGTCTATGCCATCTGTCCGCGTCTATGTCGATTTTTGTTAGACAGATAAATTGCTAAACTACCGGACCGATTATTTTCAAATTTTGAATGCATATTAGGCATATTGTGTGGTTGATAAAAGGCTGACGAAAATTTGCTGATTATCCTCACCACAATGCGATGACGTGATCCTAACAATTTACAATATTGATTTTTTTTTAAATTTTATAAAATTGCTTACTCTTCCACTTGTAGATTGTGAATCCGTGTTGAGTTTTTATCTTAAGCATCAAGAGAAAAAAAAATCTAAATTTTATAACAAACACTTTATAATTTAACTTTGAAATTGCAAAACCGAATGTTCTGAAACCTTGTAAACGTTTTAAGGTTATTGGAAACATTGTTAATCAAAATTTATCACTTTGCGACCTTCCTAAAAACTGATGACAGTGACGACGTCATCTTAAAATTTTGACAAATGAATTCTAAAATGTGCAAAATTGATGGGTCTGTACATTATCACTCAATTTATATTTTTGTTAAAATTCCTTACACATGGTGACTCAAAGGAATTAATGAATGAGTCAGTTTATTTTATTGATCAAATCGGAAACTGCAGAACCGTTTAAAGTTATCCTAAGCATGGCAAATTTGTAATCAAAATGGATCTGTTTATCCCTTCCAAAAAAATTGATACATTCTGAAAATGTGGAAAATGTGATGAGCCTAGATCTGTGATTCATTTTTACATTAATATTTTTTAAAATAGCTTATATAGGGTAGTTCAAAAAAATGAGTAATAAAAATAATGAAAGAGTCAATTTATTTTATTAATTAAATCAGAAACGGTTTACTCCATTTTACCGAAATTTTGGGAATACAATAATGTTGTTTTTGATCTATACAAACAGAACACGTGTCCTTGCAAAAATGTTGATGACGTCATCACAAAAGTTTGTGAAGCAAAAACTGATTTGAAACATACGCGTAGGACGCTTCTTTACGTTTATTTTAACATTACATACATATCTTTATTTTATTTTTTAGCGGTTTTCATTTTAGAAATCTTTTTTTTTTACTACAAAAAATCAAGTAGAACTACTATTCTAAAACCAATAATTAAAAAGTTATTTAGTAAAATAAGTCAAAAACTATCTATTTAATTCAAATCTACTTGCTTGAAAAATAAGTGTCTCATAAAGATTGTTCTTTTTTTTTAATTTAATGAAACTAAGCAAATGAAAAACATGGTTGTTAATTTTTCAGGCTACTGGGTTTTCATAAGGAAATATAATTTTTCTTCTATTTCATTGAATAACTTTTTTATTATTAATTTTAGTATATTGGTTACTTTTGATTCTGTATGGTAAATATGCAAAGGATTCGTTTATTAAAAAATACACTGGGTACATTTAATAATATGACGTTGATGTCATTTCCGGTCTTACCAGAAGCGAAAATTAAAGACTGACTAAATGAAATTAATCTTCTAGTATGACACAAATTTGCCCAAACAACAAAGTACCTATCTTCAGAAATAAAAAAGTTGTAGGAGTTGTATCAAATAAAAAAGGCAACTCAGAAGTAATCAGTTTTTGGAAGAAATCTACTACCCATATTTTTATTACATTTTGCTATTAGGCTGTTTATATGAACAACTTCGTAACTATTTTTACTTTAATTAAAAGAAGAAATATATCGAGTGGGTTAGAGTGTCAAACTAAAATATTAATCATACTTTAGATAACAACTAATTTACTGTCCAAATTTTTTGGACTAATTTTGAGAAACCTATACATTTGAACTGTAGTTACAATTTGTTGTAGAACTGCAGTGGATGAGCATCAAGATAAAGATGAAAATCGCGACGATGCCATTGGTGGTAAGAGTTTGAATAATCTATTTCGTAATTTTAAACTATTATATTTAAAAGGGAGAATATACAAAGATTGAGTAACGAAGCGCGCGTTTCTTGGTATCTCATTAATAACTTAAATAGTATACACAACTTGTTTTTTTTTTTTAATAGAACATCTTCCACATTTTGCGTATTCTTATTAGGCTTTCGTAGACTTTAAAGTTATAGTTTGTTAGGTTTTTAGGAATATCGATTATTTGGTAAAACTCAAACCAAAATTTAATCATCTCCTTTGCAAAATTAAAAAAATTATTTTACATGATACATTTAGCTTTCATGCTGATTTAACTGATTGTTTCAAATACAGTGTTTTAAATAATTTTAGAGCTACTTACAAAATATGTTCAATTCGTTCAATTCATTTGATTAATTTTCAAACTGGAATAGTATTGATTAAAAAAACGATTTGCGTAGTCTTTATGACAGTCCAATTCAATTGTTTTCACATGTTCACACAAAACTTCATCTCAATCAGTATCTAATAAAGACACATAAAATATAAACACATATAAAAATTGTTGGGGTACTCTTAATGATTATCCCATTATCAAATCTGAAAAAGTATCGCCATTTAGCGCGACATTCTGAAGTAAACAAACAATTTTTTGCTACAAAGCATTCCTGGAGAAAAACTTCATTTTATTTTTTAGTTAATGTAACTTTACATAATTTATTGTTACTAAGTTACAACACTCTAAACCTAAAATTAATCTCGCAATTAAAGTCCACGTAGAAGTTGTAGTGCCAAAGAAGTTAAACAGTTTAGAATTATGTAACTAACTTCGTTTGAAAAACTAAGCTTGTTAAATTTATTGCTAAAGTACAATGTGCTTCTTTTTTAATGATAAATAGTTAGGCATAAAAAAAACTGACAAAGTATATATATTTGTTTTATATTAACACTCTTTAAAACTTTTAGAAAGAAGTAGTCAAGCTAAAAAGAATTATTGTCTATATTGCAAGCGATTTCTGTCAAAAATTACACCGCACTTGGAACGAAAACATAAGGATGAAGCAGATGTAAAACAATTTATGATTTTACCAAAAGGTAAAACTGACCGTACAGCAAAGTTTTTCAGATAAGATTTTTCACCTTTTTTTAGGCTGCAAAGAGAGAAAACGGATCATTGACACTATTAGAAAAATGGGCAATTTCTCTTATAATCAAACTCAAAAAAGCACTGGTATAATTGTATGCCGAAGGAAAAAAAATTTAGAAATTTCAAAACGAATTTACAGTGTTTGTCCTAATTGTAAAGGCTACTTTGTGACTTCAGCAATAAGAAAACACTTCAAAAATTGTGCTGGTAAAAACGATAAAAAAAAAGGCATTTTGGTAATGAGTCGCAAACTGGACATTGATGTTCATCAAAAAGCATCGGACATTCTCAAATACAAAGTTTTACCTGTTATGAGACTAGATAGCGTATGCACTGTTGTTCGCAACGATGCATTTTTAATAACATATGGAAACAAGTTATGCTCCAAGTATAGATCACCCCACATGTATAAAATGATAAGAACAAGATTGAGGCTATTGGGAACATTTTTTTTAGAAATGAATAAACTGCAAAATAATATTCAGTGTTTCGCCGATATATTTGATCCTATTTATTACGAGCATACTGTGAAAGCCATAAATACGATAGCAAGATTAGATGCAGAAAGTGGTAAATACGGAGCCCCTTCCACCGCGTTCAATTTGGGTATTTTAATTAAACACTGTGCAACTTTATACATTGCTCAATGTATCCAAAACAGCTGTTGGGAAAAGAAAACAAATGCTGAAAATTATTTAAAAGTATTGACTGAAGACATTGGAATTTCTGTTAATAAAACAGTCATAGAAAACCAAAAAGAGTTCAAAAGAAAGAAAAAAATATTATTACCCCAAAACAATGACATTAAAATATTGTCGTCTTTTTTAACAAAAAATAGAAGAAATCATTATAATAATTTAAAAAATGTGGGCTTTAAATACGACGACTGGTTAAATTTAGCGTCCTACACGCTAATTTCACTACAGTTGTTCAACAGGCGTAGGGCAGGGGAAATTGAAAGAGTGCTGATAACCGATTTTTTAAATTTTCAATCCGTTGATGAGGTACAAGATAAAGAAATATATGATGCTTTGTCGGAAGAATCCAAAACAGTAGCCAAGAAGTATGTAAGATTTGAGGCCCGCGGTAAGTTGGGAAGGGGAGTCCCAGTTTTAATCCATCGAGAGTTGTTGCAAAGCATTGAATATATTTTAAATAACCGAAAAAAAGCAGGCGTGATGGAAAAAAATCCATATCTATTTGGTATTCCTGGCAATGAAAGCACTCATTTAAGCGCTTGCCAGTTAATGAGAAAATTTTCTCAAGCTTGCGGAGCCAAAAATCCAACACTATTGCGTGGTACAACGCTTAGAAAACACATTGCCACTCGATCCGCTACAATGAATTTACAAGAAAGTGATGTCTCCGACTTGGCTAATTTTATGGGCCATGCAGAAAAAATTCATAGAGAACACTATAAACTACCCATCGTTACAAGAGAAATTACCAAAATGGCACAAATATTGGAAAAAGCTGAGGGCAAAACTGCCAAAGACAATGAAAAACTAGGTTCAAAAGGTAAGGAACCACATTTCTCGTTAAAATAACTTTGTATGACTTATGACTTCAGATACGCCGAACTGTGTTGTACTATTAGAAAAATTACAGCAGGAAAATATTTTTTCAGAGAAAGATACAGGTAATCTTCTTGATCGATTGGAAACAGGTAAATTTAGACTGTTTAAAAGCGAAGAATATTTTCAATAGGTATTATATTTCAGATGATGATAAACTTCATGCAGTCTTGCCAGACCAGCCCCAACCTGGTAAATTTACAAAGTGGATAAAAATAATTATACGATGTTTTATAATTTCAGGTTGCAGCAAATATTACATATCAGACGAAGAAGATGACTCTGTTGTGGTTCAGAGCAGGACAAACGGTTTGTTGTTTGTATGTTTTGTAACACTTTACTTTGTTGTAATTTATTTAGCTGGTCGAGGAGGAATAAAAGCGAGAAAATCTAAAACAACTCGAAAGATTGATTCAACACCTACAAAAAAACCACACGGTAAGTTTTGAAATTAAATGCGCTAAAGTGTTCATCGTTAATGATTAATTGCAGTCAGAATCGCTTGGGTTACGCCAGAAAGACATGCTGTAAAATCAGCTTTTCAAACACATATCGATCAAGGAACACTACCGTCTTTTCAAGAGTGCCGAGAAGCACAAATGAAGTTTCCAGTCTTGCAGCGTAGAAACTTGGCCACCATTAAAACCAAAATTAGTAATGAGATTCGACGCCGGAAACTACGATTTCAATAGCCACAAGAAGAGGAACTTCCAGTTTTGAAGTTATCAGTTATCAAATTCTATTATCAGTGATAATTTCTTATTGTTTGTTATAGTCAGTTTAATAAATTATCATATTTTTATAATAAATTTTCGTTTTAATGTTTTATATATTAAATCAAAAAGAAATAAACGATTTTCAGATTCAAAACAATATTCGTTTAAAGAAGAAAACAGATTCTTTAACAGACACCTTGTTAATCAGTGTTGTTACGATTACCTTTGAGGTGGTTAGTGTCCTGCGCCATTTCACTGCTTTTATTTAAGTACAGTGTGATATGGTCCTTTATTTCTGGTTTCATGATGTACCCACACTTTTAACGATTCGATTTTTACAAATACGTAAAGTTCATAAACCAAATTTTACAGTTTGTCTAATGATCTGAGAAAAGATTTTTTTTGGTGTAGGCTAAACATTGTATTACTATTTACAGAACAATGACTATTAAAGAAATAATTTTTAATATTATTTTATCAGGAAAAGCACTTCCACAGTTTTGATATGGTGACCATTGGCTTTAAGGCCAACATCTAATCGGAATTATGGAATTTCGGGGAGTTCCCCAAATTTCCATAATTTCGATTGTGACATTTGGGAATATCAACTATTATTTACAAGTTATGTGCAGTACCGTTGCTGCTGAACACTAGGCAGTGTTTCATCGTCTGAAAGTTTGTACTGATACTTTTGAGATTTTTATTTGTGAACAGTTTTCCTTAACAAAACTTCAGTGGTATAGATATGAATATGATAGCCGTCACTGTACGAAGATGTTTTGATAATAGATAATTATTTTATGAAAAGTTTAAGTGATACTTTATGTGAAGGAGTATGGATAATTAAAAGCTGAGCGATAGCGAGGCGAATTAAGTCGATACGGGCTAAAATAGTATTGTTGGTTGTCTATATAATTTTGAGTTAATAACGATAAGCAAAGATAAGAAACTTGTAATTGCATGTAATATTATTATCCCAAGACCTAAGACAAAATAAGAATCAAATCAACACACAAAAATTTATTAGAAGTACGCTTGGAGTAAGAATGTAACACGACGAACAAAGAAACAAGTATATAAGACAATAGTAAGACCTACAGTCCTGTACGCTAGTGAAACATGGACGCTAATGAACGAAAATGAACAGAAGTTGGAAGTATGGGAACGCAAAATACTACGAAAGATATATGGAGGTATAAAAAACTAGACCAATGGAGAAGGAGAACAAACCGAGAGATCGAGGAAATATACGGAGAACCAACAATCACGAAGATAATCAGAGCACGGAGACTAAGATGGCTAGGCCACGTCGGAAGAGCACCAGAGGAAAGGACAATTGGGAAAGTATTAGACCGCCTAAAAGGAGGAAAGAAAAAGAGAGGAAGGCCAAAACTGAAGTGGATAGACGATGTTCGAAAAGATCTTCAAAACTTAGGCATTGAAGATTGGAGATCCAAAGCAGCCGACAGGAACAAATGGAAAATTATTGTTAAAAAAGCCCAGGGCCTTTAAGGCCTGCAGAGCTGAATTATATATATACGCTTGGAGATAATTGTGTTTTCAAATAACACACATAGTGCTGACAATAATTTAAAACTAGTATTTGGTCATAGCTCCGTTTTAGGCAATCACTTGACCTAGTCTATATAGCATTGAGTGTATTAAATTTCGAATATCATATTCACTGATTTCCCCCAACAAGTTTGAATTCGTTAAGATAATTATCAACAGTTTGTGGTCTAAATATGTTGTAGCTATCTGGCGGAATCAAAACAATTTGCTCTTAAATGATTTAAACGGGCAGTATCTTCTTGTAGCTCTGCCTGAACTAACTTTTCGTTATAATGATTGGTCCTGTTCCCAGCATTTATTAATTCTTAAAACTACACTTTTGTTTAAATTTTAATTACCGTAGCAACTCAAATTAACCAACCATCTTCCAATGTGAACATTTTTGAGGAGAATCAAATGCTGAGGCATACTTGCAAACTGTAACTGATTATGATGATATCATCGACTAATTCATATTAGAAGGGTTTGTCATTAAATTGTCATTGACAAGAACATTTACAATGCTCTAAATATGTTGTACGCTTTTTCATTGATTAGAACTCTACTTTCAAGAAAAGAAATAAAAATAATAAAAATAAAAGAATTTATCCAAACAAGTTTACGTTGCTCGTCTTCTCCTTCTCTTGCCTCGTCTCGTCTTTTTCTTCTGGTCTGCATTTATTCCTGTGTCTCGTGCTTGCTCACTGCTTTCCCGTGTTTCGTTTCGTTGTTGGCAAAACTTAAAAACCATATAACTATAGTCATGGGTTGCTAATTCTCAGACTTTTATCCCCACTTTTACCTAAAGATTTAACTGTTGATTTAAGACTATAAAATAGCTTATGATACTGGTTTATAATGCGGGATTCGTGAAATTTTTTACTTGTTACATAAGTCTATTTTTATAAAATGGTTGTCCCTATTCTTTTGTAGAAATTGCTCTTTTTTTAATTGTTTTTGAAAGAAATATAACTCAGCCGAGCCTCCCTTCTCAATACATCGACGTTACGCCACTGCTAGCCCGACTACGAGCCGCATAACTTATACCCCGCCCCTGTCACCTTTCGTGGTGAAATTACTTCTACAAACTTACAATAAAAAAATTAAAATCCCTATTCAGATCAATATAGTGACATTCGTGGAAGTGTCTAAAAAGCCTCGACCGGTATTTCATTATTCGTATTCGGGTGGGTGTCTTCTTTTCTTAAAATCCTTTCTGTTCATTATGGCCGTACGCCAATTCTACCTGTTCATTGACACACTGTCTCATTCTCTTCATCTCTTTCTCCATTTACAACGCCTCCATCAATCAAGTAATTTAAGCACAAAATTAAATAGTCTTATCAAAAAGGTGTTTAGGACATATTGAGAGAGTGTAGTAGACAGGGTAGAGATTAGGGATAAGAGGTAATTTTTCAACAGTTAATTTGTAATGCTCAAAAATTCTTAGCTCAGAATAATATAAAGCGAGTTCTTTTATATTGTAGGCCGCCCATCCGGGTTTGGCTGATGAAGGATTAGCAACCCGAAACCGATACCAATAAAATAAATAAGCAATAGTGGACAGAAATTGTTTCTTTTATTTAAAATGAAATTAAAATTTAACTCGAAAAAATAAGATTCGGCTGTATGGGTATAAAAAAAAAGGTCGAAGGTTACTTTGACAGAACTTTCCTCACCCCTGAAATATAATAAAACAACTCCAGGTCTTTTGAAAAATTATAAAATTTGATTATGCGAATTTTATTTTTTTATGAGAACTCATAAGTTAAAATAAAGATATGTATGTAACGTTAAATTAAATGTGAAGAAGCGTGCTGGGCGTACGTTTCAAATGAGTTTTCCCTTAACAAAATTTTGTGATGAGATCATTAACATTTTTGCAAAAACCCGTAAATCCACTTTGGATAGGTGCAGTGTAACAGTATTGTATTCCCAAATTTTCGGGAAAACAAAGTGAGCCGAGTCCAATTTAATCAATAAAATAAATTGACCCTTTCATTAATTTTTATAAGTCACCCTGTATAAGAAATTTAAAAACTTAATGCACTGATAAATCACAGGCATATACCCATCACATTTTGCACATTTCGGATAGGATCTATTCAGCAAAATTTTGGGAGGGGATAAACGAATAAATTTTGCTTGACGATTTAGCATGATTACGATAACCCTAAAATATTTACAAAATTGAAGAGTTCGGTTTTGCAGTTTCAAAGTTATATTACAAAATATTGTTATCCAGTTTTCCAAAAATTCTGAATGTCTAAGGTGAGAATTCGACATGGATTCACACAGCATAAGTGCAGGAGTATCTTATTTTATAAATTAAAAAAAATATATAAATTTAGGAGATGACGTCATCCCATTGGTGGAGGGGACGATCAGCCAAATTTTTCTTAGTACTTCAACCATCTACATGATATTCCTAATACACATACAAAATTTGATAACAATCGGTTTAGTAGTTTCGGAGATTACGTAAAATATATATATCAAAAATAAAATTCGCATAATCGAATTTTTTAATTTTTCGAAAGAGCTGGACTTGTTTTATTATATTTCAGGGGTGAGGGAAGTTCTGTTGAAGTAACCTTACCAATTTTTTCAAAACATATTTACACAGTCATATTTACCATATTTAAAATTGTACCATTGAAGTTTCGTTAAGGAAAACCGTTGTTCACAATTAAAAATCTCAAAAGTATCATTACAAGCTACCAGACGACGAGGCACTACCTAGTGTACAGCAGCAGAAGTACTGCACATGTTATATGGATTGAAAGTGGTGGCGCCAGTTGTCGATAATAGTTGATATTCCCAAAAGTCGCAATCGGAATTATGGAAATTTGGGGAACTCCCCGAAATTCCAATTTGATTCCCAAAAGTAACGTTACGCGGTGTTTAGGTTCCCAATATTACCATTCGGCACACATATATATATATATACGTCAATGATAACTTTTGGCCTCGCGCCAGATTTAGGCAACAAGTAATGGGAGAATATGAAAACCACATCCTAGCCTCAAACCTGTCATATCAGTGTTCAAATTTGTATTTATGGTTGCATCATTTACAAACAAGCGAATGCTTGACACGTTTTAAGGCAGGTAAATATTTGGAATTATAGTTTAAACTGTTTTCGTGTAAAAGAAAGAAAAAGTGGTATGAATCAGTTTATTCAGAAACAATTTTTTGGAATTAAAACAGCCACACAGAGGCTGAAGAAATTAAGATAATCAAAGAGAAAAGAAAACACAACTTAAAACTAGGAAAGCTTACTTCGTAGTAAGTGCAATTATATTCTATGAACATTTAATCTATACTTATATAATAAAGCTGAAGCTGTTGTTTATTTGAACACGCTAATCTCAGAAACTACTGGTTCAAATTCAAAAAATCTTTTTGTGTTGGATAGTCCATGTATCATATCTACATATAGGCTATATAAAATCACGCTACGATCATTAGGAGCGAAGTAGCAATGAAAAATTCGGAAAAACGGGAAAATTATTCCTCCTTTGACAGCTTCCGTTGCTTACGCTGCTTAAACGGTTAAAGTTACGTAAAAATCATGTATGACGAAATTGTTCCCCTCTAAAAGTTCTAAAGAAAAGTCCGCGACAGCATATGTCTATCTTTTAAGGTCGAGTCAGTATAACCTTTTTTATGGTAATGAAATTTGTTCTAAAATAATAATGCATTATGTATAAAATTCTCGCGTCACAATGTTTGTAACCGAACTTCTCCGAAATGGGTAGACCGATTTGTATGAAATTTTGTATGTCTATTCGGTAGGTCTGACAATAGGTTGTAAACTATTTTTTAAACCCCTAAGTGATAAGGGTGGCCCACCCTAAAAAATTTTTGTCTATTTTTTTGACAATTTTTTTTATTTTTATTTTTCTAAGATTTGGCATCAAAAAATATACATAACCCTAAATTTTCACCTTTCTACCACCAACCCCCATTTATTAACCATCTATAAAATAAAAATCAATTGCTGTTCCTATTAGTCTCTCTAAGACTCAAAAACGGCTTGACCGATTTGAAGAAATTTTTATATTACGGGGATTGTTTATAAATTAAAAAAATAGGGGAAACTTAAAAGAACAGCTAAAAAATCAAAAAATCCTAAAAATTTTTTATGGGAATCGCCACTTCAAATTAATTTCAATGGTTGTCGTCTAACTGACGTGTCATACAAAACTAATTCTATCGTGCGATTGTAAAAAGTATATTGCATTTCAAATCGTTCTTTGTTTTTTCGTAAAAAAACGGTTATGGAAGTTGATCAGCGTTGTGCTCATAATCAACATAATAGTTAAACATTGAAGCGAGACATTGGGTGGTATGAATAAAACTGAGTAGATACTTATATTCGAAGTACGAAGTACCTACTTCATTATTACTCTTATATACTTGAACATCTACTCTATGTACTGAGTACCTACTGGGAAACATTGTATCTCCCCGGCCACAAACTGAACATCTACGCGTTTTGTGAGCATTTAATCTAGAAATGAGCATCGGCGTGGCAAATAACTGAGCTGTCTGTAAAGTAGCTTAGAAAACCAGTAGGATCGTTGTAAGAGTGAATTTTAACTAAACATGGTGACTTTCATGAATGTGGAACGTCGTCAAAAGGTGCATTCAGTTTGAAAAACACATTAGGAGCAGGAATATCGAAAACTTTTCATGTAATTAACTTTTATTTATGCATAAATTGTGCAGTGCGTTTTTTCTAACACTGGCCATAGAGATTCCCATCTCAAGGTGTCTACCCCATACTAACTTATATTTTGGTGACTCGATTTTTGCCTTGATGGTTGAACACTGTCATTGTTGTCCTTTTTTGTTGTATCGAGATGCTACTTGAGCATCAACTGTTACTTACTGAAGTATTAGTATCATCTAGAAAAACTAGAAACATTTTGATTTGATATTCGAGTAGATACTTCGTATTTCGAGTATGAGCATCTACTGAGTTTTATTTATATCAACCATTGTCAAAAAATTGATCGAACGTTGTTTCGACAGAACTTCCTTCGCACCAAAAGTATAATGAAACATATTCAGCATTTTCGAGTTGAGTCTTTTCTTCACACAATTTTGTGATGACCTAATCAACATTTACTATCAACACGTAGGTATACCACCTTGGATTGGTGCAGTGTAATACTAAAAATAACTGTATTGTATTCCCAAAATTAACTGCGAAAATCGAGTGAGCCATTCCATCAATTTTTTGGGGGGAATAAATAAATATTCTTAACAATTTACCATGCCTACAAAAACTTTAAAACGTCTGCAAGATCTCAAAGTATTCATTTTTGCAACTCTTGAGTTATTCACTAAAATAAATTGACTGATCCATATATTTTTTTGAGTCACTGTAAAAGCAAATCTAAAAAATATGAATGCAGTGATAAATTACGAAAATATACTGATGATATTTTCCACATTTTAGATAGGATTTATTCGGCAAAATCTTGAGATGATGTCTTCAAGTTTTTGGGCTTGATAAACAGATATATTTTGATTGAAAACCTACAATGTCAAACAGTAACTTCAAAACGTCTGCAATATTTCAAAATTCAGTTTTGCAATTCTTGATTCAATCAATAAAATAAATTGACTCAGTGATTAATTTTTTTGAGACACCCCCTATAAGCAAAACTAAAAAATATGAATGGAATGATAAATCACAAATATAGTCTATCCTATTTTGGACATTTTAGATAGGATTCATTTGGCAAAAGTTTGGGCTGACGCCATCAATTTTTTGGAGGGAATAAGTAAATATATTTTGAATAAAAATTTATTATGCTTATCATATGTTTAAAACATCTGCAAGATTTCAAAACATTCGATTTTGCAGATTCAAAATTAAATTGTAGGTGAAACGGAGTTCACGGGGTCAGCTAGTACTACTATACAACACCAAAGTAGATTATTCATATTTCTTATGAAGTTAAAGATTGCAATTATTAACAAAGTTGACAACGTATGGATAAAGTTAAATATATATCTTTTAGTCAAAAGAGGTGTCTGCATAATTTGTTACAATGTGTTTGCAGGTATATTTGTACAATGCAACAGCTGCTGCATTCACTATCCAAATGTAATGTATAAATAATGATTTGTTTGGTGTATGGTGCGGTCTTAAAATTAGGTATTTTTACTATATTTCAATTGGATAAATATTTTTACACATATTTGTAAATTCTCGTGGTTTGCCAGTTTTAGACGTAGGAATTTTAATTATTAGCGTATCGTTTTTGTCTTGAATGCCGTCATTCTTTCTCAATTTATCCATTCCATATGCTCCTACAACTTGTAATAAAAAATAAACCTAAAACATAATGATTTATAGACAATGTGATTGACCTTGTTTGAGATCACCTTTAACATCAGGTACATTTAATCATGGGCTTCTGTTAAAAATTTTGGTAAGTCTTCTCTTGTAAATATATTTGATTTCTTGGCAACGTAACCTATATTTTTTGCTTGAAAACTTGGTGTACTTAGATATATCTATGCTGTTTTTTATTAACAGAGTTGAGTTTAACTACGACTATGCACCCAAAGTGTTAAAGATTTCACAGAATTTGCTTTTCCAGCGAAATACTCGTATGCAATGAGGTGTTCTCCATGTATTTCGCATGGTTGTTTCTGCGCCAAAAAAAAAATTTTCATACCGCTTTTCATAAACTGTGGCTGAGTTTTTGGGTAATAAATTTGATATATTATCTGCCAGTTTTTGCAAGTTCGGTCGAATGCATGTAAAGTTCTTGTTATTATAGCTATCCATCTCTATTTTGCAATTGCTGCAGATCTTTCTGCAAGCAAAAATATTATTAAAAGTGCCAAAAAATAAGAGGTATGCTTCATACTTTCATTTAAAATGGGCATGTAAGCTAATAATCTGTTCTGTAATAATAATAAAAGCTTATTATAGGTTATGTAGATACAAGAAAATTGTTCAAATTCTTCCATTCCGCATACTCCTACAACCAGGTTCGAATAAAAAATATACCTAAAACATTATGTTTTGTAGACAATGTGATTGACTTTCTTTGAGATTACCTTTGACATTAGGTACATTAATCACGGGCCTCTGCTAAAAATTTTCGTAAGTTTTCTCTTGTAACTATATTTGATTTCTGGGAAACATAACCTATATTTTTTGCTTGAGAAGTTTTTGTTAATCTCTTAAATTATTTTTCTACTTATGGACCCAATCTGGATATTTGTTTGAGGGTGTGCTTTAAATTTTAGGAATTAATATCTTGGAACGTTATGCATCGTTTCCATACATTTTTGAGCTTCTGTTTTATCTTCTAATCACTTGGAATTTCATTTCCAAAAACAAAAATTGTACTTGAAGTGATAGATATGAAGCTCATTATTCCGAAACATGTAATTATAAGGTCAAATGTTACTATGCATGAAATGTATTATTTGATATAAAGTAACTTTTGACATCGCATACTTTAGATTTTTTTCATGGGTACTTTACAGTTAATAGTATCACCATGAAATTGTTTCTTAGATTTGTTTTTTTCTTCCGGTATTTGAATCACAATTTGATATTCTTAAAACAACGACAATTAATTTAACTTTAGCTTGAGTTGTGAACCTGAAAGTTGTTTTGTATGAATTTGTGTGACAAAAGTGTACTAAAGACGAAAATAATTACTTATACTCTTTTACAATCATTAATTACATTTGTAGCAATTTTTGGCCTCTCGTATTTTATATTATTTTATCCAAGAAACAAGCGAAATTTGAAAAACCAGTTTAATATTTTATTGGAGTAGTAATTATGAACCCAAATGTTGCTATGGATAAAAACTATTATTTGACTTAAATTAACTTTTGGCATCACAGTCTTTGGATTTTTTTCGTAGATACTCCACAGTAAACAACATAATTATAAATCTGTCCCTTTGATTTATTAATTTCTCAATCCGCCGATATTCGAAAGACGATTTGGTATTCTTAAAACAAGGGCTACTAATTTAATGTTTCCTTGGACTGTGGGTCTGAAAGTTGTTTTGTATGAATCCATATGGGGTCAAAGTGTACTAAAGATGAAAAGAATGACTTCGTTTATAGCAACTTTTGGTCTCTCGTGTTTAATATTTCTCCAAGAATGTTTTTAATTTTGTAAGATATTGGGCCAATAAAACATATACAGACAACATTATTTGCAATTCTTCCAACCACCTATGGATTCATAAAATATCAACTTTTGCATCTTTAATTGAAATATTGTTCAATTCTAATCTAAACCATGAAAACTATAATAAAGAACTTCAGTCCATAAAACAAATTGCAATAAATAATGGATTTAAAGTAAAATTAATCAACAATCTAATTGACAAAATAACATACAAAATTAAAAAAAAAACAATGTTGCTCGTTGTTCAAAACGGACCATGATACTAAGGAAGACATAGGTAAATATTATTCTCTGGATTTTATTGAACAATATCTTACAAAATTAAAAACGTACTAAATAGAGTGAATAAAAATGTTAATATTTCATTTAGAAAAATTAATTCAACCAGAAATCAGTTACTGAACAACAAAGATAAAATTACTTAACTAGATAAAGCCGGAGTCTATCAATTACAATTTGAATGTTGAGATTGTGCCTTAAATTTTACGAATCCAAGTCGTGGAAGAATACACTACATGAATTTCACTGGTTTGTGTTGACTACATTTTGGGTTTCCAATTTTAGATTTATTAATCTGGTATTTCGTTCTAAAAACAAAATTGTGCCCGGAATGATGGGGTTAATTACGTGTTTTCACATATACGAAGCGCACGAGTCCGAAAGTTACCTCACATGCAATTATGAGGCTAAATGTTGCTATGGATGAAAACTATTATTTGACTTAAAGTAACTTTTGGCATCACAGTTGCTTTTTTCATAGGTATTTTACTCTTAACAACATCATTATGAATTTATTTCTTAAATTTATTTCTTAGATTTATTTCTCAATCCACCAATATTTGTCTTAACCTCATAGAAAATGCTTCGTCTTATGGAAAAAATCTGAATCTTTACACTTGGGGGTGTGCCTGAATATAGCACCGAATATTGCCTCACATGAATTTTACAGCCTCGATTTGACCAAATTTTGGGTTTCCGATTTTAGATTTAATCATGTACCTAGTACTTTACTGCATGTTAGCACATGAGTCCGAAAGTTATTCATCATGTAATTATGAGGTCAAAAGTTTCTATGGATGAAAGCCATTATATTTAAAGTAACTTTTGGCATCACATTCTTTAGATTTTTTTAATAGTTACTTCACAATTAATAACACAATTATGACTTTTTCTTTTAGGTTTATTTCTCTTATCTGTTATTAAAATAACTGCTATTAAGTTAATTTTAGCTTGGGTTGTAAGTTTGAAAGGTGTTTTTTACGATTCTGTGAGGCCGAAGTATACAAAAGATGAAAATAATTTTGGGTTAGATCGCTCAACACTCATCCAATTATTTATTTTTATTTATACTATTTTCGTGTGGTATTGCAAGAATAATGGTCAACAATCAAGTATTTTAGGCTCAAAAAACGGCAGATCAAATTCCTGATAATATTAGCACTAATAATTCTTAAAATCTAACCAAATATTGACTTTTTTAAAGTGTTATAAGTTTTCGGAGGAGGTGGCTGAGGAAAGGGATGAACCCATAAACTGGTACCACCAAAATAGTATAAATAAAAATAAATAATTGTTTGATTGCAGAACTACCTAACCCAACGTTATACCTACGCTAATATAGAAACAAACATATCAAAATAATTAGCTCATTTATAGCAAATTTCGAACTCTCGTATTTTATATTTGTTTAAGTAGCAAGTACTTAAAAAATTTAAATTACCACTTTAACTTTTAATAAAACAATTGTGATGAATGCGTCTACAGATACTTCTACCATTCACAGTCGTAATTTTGTCTTAACCTCATAGAAAATGTTTCGTATTATGGAAAAAATTTGAATCTCTACACTTGGGGGTGTGTTTGAATATATAGCACCGAATATTGCCTCACATGAATTTTACTGCCTCGATTTGACCAAATTTTGGGTTTCCGATTTTAGATTTATTCATGTACCTAATACTTTAAGATATGCTAGCACATGAGTCCGAAACTTATTCATCATGTAATTATGAAGCCAAAAGTTTCTATGGATGAAAGCTATTATTTGATTTAAAGTAACTTTGGCATCACATTCTTTAGATTTTTTTGATAGTTACTTCACAGTTAATAACATAATTATGACTTTTTCTTTTAGGTTTATTTCTCTTATCTGTTATTAAAATAACTGCTATTAAGTTAATTTCAGCTTGGGTTGTAAGTTTGAAAGGTGTTTTTTACGATTCTGTGAGGCCGAAGTATACAAAAGATGAAAATAATTTTAGGTTAGATCGTTCAACACTTAGCCAATTATTTATTTTTATTTATACCATTTTCGTGTGGTATAGCAAGAATAATGGTCAACAATCAAGTATTTCAGGCTCAAAAAACGGCAGATCAAATTCCTGATAATATTAATACTAATTAGTCTTAAAATCCAACCAAATATTGACTTTTTTAAAGTGTTATAAGTTTTCTGACGAGGTGGCTGAGAAAGGGGATGAACCCATAAACTGGTACCACCAAAATAGTATAAATAAAAATAAATAATTGTTTGATTGCAGAACTACCTAACCCAACGTTATACCTACGCTAATATGGAAACAAACATATCAAAATAATTAGCTCATTTATAGCAACTTTCGAACTCTCGTATTTTATATTTGTTTAAGTAGCAAGTACTTAAAAAATTTAAATTACCACTTTAACTTTTAATAAAACAATTTTTATGAATGCGTCCACAGATACTTCTACCATTCACAGTCGTAATTTTGTCTTAACCTCATAGAAAATGTTTCGTTTTATGGAAAAAATCTGAATCTTTACACTTGGGGGTGTGCCTGAATATGTAGCACCGAATATTGATTCACATGAATTTTACTGCCTCGATTTGACCAAATTTTGGGTTTCCGATTTTAGATTTATTCATGTACCTTGTACTTTAATGTATGTTAGCACATGAGTCCGAAAGTTATTCATCATGTAATTATGAGGCCAAAAGTTTCTATGGATGAAAGCTATTATTTGATTTAAAGTAACTTTTGGCATCACATTCTTTAGATTTTTTTGATAGTTACTTCACAGTTAATAACATGATTATGACTTTTTCTTTTAGGTTTATTTCTCTTATCTGTTATTAAAATAACTGCTATTAAGTTAATTTTAGCTTGGGTTGTAAGTTTGAAAGGTGTTTTTTGCGATTCTGTGAGGCCGAAGTATACAAAAGATGAAAATAATTTTAGGTTAGATCGTTCAACACTCAGCCAATTATTTATTTTTATTTATACTATTTTCGTGTGGTATTGCAAGAATAATGGTCAACAATCAAGTGTTTTAGGCTCAAAAAACGGCAGATCAAATTCCTGATAATATTAACACTAATAATTCTTGAAATATAACCAAATATTGAATTTTTTAAAGTGTTATAAGTTTTCTGACGAGGTGGCTGAGGAAGGGGATGAACCCTGAAACTGGTATCACCAAAATAGTATAAATAAAAATAAATAATTGGTTGATTGCAGAACTACCTAACCCAACTTTATACCCACGCTAATATGGAAACAAACATATCAGAATAATTAGCTCATTTATAGCAACTTTGGACCTGTCGTCCTTTATATTTGGCTAAGTAGCAAGTATTTAAAAAAATTTAATTATCACTTTAGCTTTGAATAAAAAATATATTTATGAATGCGTCTACAGATACTTCTACCATTCACAGTCGTAATTCTGTCTTAACTTCATAGAAAATGTTTCGTTTTATGGAAAAAATTTGAATCTTTACACTTGGGGGTGTATTTGAATATAGCACCGAATATTGCCTCACATGAATTTTACTGCCTCGATTTGACCAAATTTTGGGTTTCCGATTTTAGATTTATTCATGTACCCTTGTACTTTAAGATATGCTAGCACATGAGTCCGAAACTTATTCATCATGTAATTATGAGGTCAAAAGTTTCTATGGATGAAAGCTATTATTTGATTTAAAGTAACTTTTGGCATCACATTCTTTAG